TTTATTATCGTTCTAATATACCAGAGCAGCAGTAAGAAGTATTTATGCGCATTATCAATGAATTACAGTGCTTTCGAATGCTTTGAACGTTATAAAACTCGTTAAAATGAAATAAATCGCATGTATTGTTCACCGCACCATATTCATTTTCAGACCTCTTCCATGTGTGTTTTCTCTTCAGATAATGTACGTGAGAAGCAGTTGAAAAGGAAAAGAAAAGCAGTGAACGATGATTTTTTTGATAATGCAACAAGTAGCAGTGTGCTGAACGCTGAACCATCGCTTACTTTTGAGCAGATGAGCCTTTCAAGGCCTCTTTTGAAGGTAATTTACATGAAAATTAGTAAATTTGTGACAGACAGCTACTTGTTCACTGCATGGTTCTTCAGCTATTCCAACTGACAACTTTTCCAGTGCTACGTAGCATCGTGGCCAGTCTGTTGACGATCGGGATTTTTGTTTCATCTCTGAAAGGGATTATTAGCTTTGCAACAGTTTTTTTCAGCGAAATTGCCGCCTTGCAAAACTGTCAGAACTCCTTCTCGCCACTGATTCAGCTGGCAGCTTCTACGAATCCTTCTCCTAATGCACCTCCACGACCTTACTGCAGATCTTCAAAGCGAGATATAGTGACTTAATGGACCGAAACATTTAAAAATGTATTTCCATAGCCTCCTTTCCCCTTCTTACTTCACTTTTCCACCGTTTTCTTCCCTTCTTCATCTTCTCTACTTCGTCATTTTCTCTTTATCCTTTAATGGAAGGTAATACTTAAATACAAATTGGAATATTTATGGGTCATTTTTTGGTATTTTAGGCAGTAACAGCATGTGGTTTCAATGAACCAACACGAATACAAAGTGCATGCATTCCTGTGGCACTTGCTGGGCGTGATATTTGTGCATGCGCTGCTACGGGTACAGGTAAAACTGCTGCATTCATGTTGCCAATCCTGGAACGATTGCTTTTTCGGCCACAGAAGGCGATGACCCGGGTGATCGTATTAACACCAACACGAGAACTTGCAATTCAGGTAAAATTTTGAAGATTTTTTTGTGGCTGTTACTGTTATTTCTTATCATCATTACTATCAGGATTGCCTAGACAATCAGTACGAAATCCTCAAATTGAGCTTCAGCGCTTCCCATTTCATTCTGTCATGGACTGTATCTGTTCAGACTTTGCCAGTTGCGTCAGTTACATGTATCCAGCCATCTCTTCGAAGGCAGCCAAGTATTTTCCGTTTTTACCGGGGGGCAGGGTTTGAACTCGTTAATACCCACTTGGACAGGGAACATCCCCTAAAATTTCAGCGTTCTAGCTTCTCAGATCCCCGAGCTGTGAACTTACCCGAAAAAAAATTTTGGCGGGCCCGTACGCGGGTACCACGCGGGTGATGACGCCCATTTTAGGCTGGAACTTGCTTGGTTGCCGAGTTGAAATACCCGGACAGACGAACACACACATACACACACAAGCATACACACACATACATACACACAGACGTGTTCGTTAGTGCCTTCTACCGAAAAGTTCTTAGTAAATCTTGGAAGTTTAGAAGTAGTGAAGATGCTGTTCCCTGGGACATCTTCGTGAAAATGGTGCTTCACTTTTTAGGTAAAAATTTTTTTATTAATTTGTTGGTATTGGATTAATGATTGACAAATTTCAAAATCGGTTCCTTCAAAAAATTTCGTATTTTTGAATTTTCCAAGTTCTACTTCCTTGTAAAGTTGGAGGGTATTGTTCCGGTCGCACAAAAAAGTAAAATCCGATAGGCAGAGCATGTCGGTTGCCTTACCGACAACCAGCGGAAGTCGGATTCTAGTAAGTGGTACCTACGAAAAAGTAAACGTCCCATTCAGGTGAATTCCGAAGAAGGGGGAGGGAGCATGCACAGACCAGGCGAGGAGAATTAACTGGAAATGTGCAGCTTAGAAACAAAGTAACAAGCGTAGTTGCTTTGGGCGTGCTGGGCCGTCATTAGTGTAGGATCCTCACAACAATTTTTGGGGCGGTCTTGATATTTTTTGCATTTTTAGGTTTTCCAAGTCAGTCGACAATTATCACAATTTATGCATGTTGAAATGTGCTTATGCTCCGGTTAGTTATTTTCTTCTTCCTTGGCCTCTTATCTTGTAAAAGGTGCAGTTGCTGATGGCTACTTCCGATGTAAGAGAGCATTCTAACTTTGACGCCCCCGTATATCTTGTCTTAATTTTCAGTAAAAAAATTCAGCCAGTAGCAAGCGATTCAGGATATGAGCTTTTATACAGGTAACAAGCAACAATTATGTGGGGAAAAGTGCAGTAACATCCCGAAAAATGCGACTGTATTATAAAATTATAAAAATTGAACAGTTGCACTGCAAAAATTCAAAGCTTTGAGGAAAAAACTGCAAAATTGTGCACAAAATTTGCGAAATTTCGTTGAAGAATTTTTTTAATTTTTGTGTTATTTAGTTCGACAGAATTTTTTTTCCCTCTTTTAGATGAAAATAGTGAAATATTATTGAATGTTTTTCATGAAATGACCTCTGGCAAAAATACCATCATAACGATTCCGGGCTAAGTTCTGGCACAAATTCGCTATAATTTTTTACATTCATTCATACTACTGCCCAGCATGTGCTTGATTTTTTATTCGGTTTGCTACAGCCACTTTTCCACATCTTTAAAAGCTGTCCTTCTCCAGTTTTCTCTCAGATAATCCATTTATCCTCATTTTCGTCCTTTTTTCTTTCTTTTTCCTTACTTTTTCTGCAAAAAAAAAAATTCTTGAAAAATGAACTATGCTAAACTAATGGAGGGCAGTAGCGTGCGTACACGGGCATTCGAATGTTTAGCGACAAGAATGATGAAGCAGAGTGTTCCGAGTGAAAGCAATGCACTGGTATAAAATGCATAGGTATAGTGCCAGGATTGCACCAAATGAGACGTATAAATTGGAACAATAAAATGTACAATCCATTGAGCAGCCGAGGCTAATCCTGTTGCTTTTCCAAGATCGGCCATATCCACAGCGCTGTAATATAATCATCATCAAACTGTTAACTCGGCTGAGGTAGGAAGAACTATTGCTCTTGAGATCGCCAGCAACAAGGTGAGAGCCGTACAATAATGCAACATTGGTCAGAGTAACTGGAAAAATTGTCAGTTACACGGATGGCAATTCGAACCAGTGAATTACAGACGGTCATAAAATGAATATCTAAATATGCAACAAAAAAAAAAATAGAAAATTTAGGGGCGCTTTATTATCCAAAATGCACATAGAAGCAGTTTTCACGCCTCCCTCCTCCCGCTTGCCTTACATGCGAACACGTGAAAATTTCACGCTGACAGCTTTGTAACTCTGCAACCAGAATAGCTAGAGAGCTGAAAAATTTAGTGGGCCTGGTTCGGAACAGCTTAAATGTTGCTGGCATTAAGAGCTGACCCAACTTAGTGCCATTAGCCTTTCAGAGCTTCACACACTGATAGTGCTGGCGATTTTGATACTGGCCATTATTTGAGGCATGAACAAACCTTGTTATTTGTGTGCAACTTTCGGCATACGCAACAGCATAGCAGGCTGTTTGTAGTGCAACAATTACCAGTAGCTGATTGAGATTGGTGGTGAAATTCACCGATGAATAGGCACCAACAAGGCCACTCAGTGCAATGATCAGAACAGTTCGTGGATAGAAACGTCGTTGTAGCCAGGGCAGTACTAGAAACTGTACAGTGAGCAGCGATGCACCCATTACAATGAGTACTTTGGCAGAATCATTTGGACCCTGAAAAGAGGATTTTTTTAAACAATTCTTTAGTGGCTCATTGTCCAAGATAACGACTCTCCTACAATTTATGTAGTGAAGGCAGAAAAACTTTTTTGTGAGCAAAATCTGAAAGGCAGGGAATTTTACCGCAGAGATGCGATATGTGACCAAAAGCTGAGAAATTGGTCTGCGTTAAAATGCAAGAATTTAGATTTTCTAAAATTTTAGCTTTGGAAAAGTTTTAAGACTTTGAGGAACTTGAGAAAACCCAAGGATTCTAGGATCATTCGGGAAGTAAGTGTTGGATATCCTATGTTAGTAATGTTATGAAGGTGCCACCACATGCAGGGCGCAGAAGTTACGTCAGGCTCTTCAATTCTGGGCTGCATACCTCCAGTTAGTATTCACGGGCTCGGGCTTTTTCATACATGCACGTCACTTCTTTGGAAGCCGCTTTCATTATTATTATTAACAAAAAATGACAAAAAAATAAAGTAGCGATTTTTTATGGGCAAAAATTTGTGTAAGCTATTATGAAATGGGGATTAGCGGGTGCAGAAAGTCAGTTTGCATGGGGTGTTAAAAAAATACCTGCATAAATGAGCGTAACATAAAATTTCTGGATATTAATTCGTAGCAAACATAAGCAGCAATTAGCAGTCCTCGCAGGATAATACCTTCCCGAAGTGCGGTATTATGCTTCACCATTGGCAAATAATCCTGAAAAGATTTAAAATTAGAGTGCTTTTTTTTTTAAGAAAACAAGCTTCTCGCTACTGCTCTTCGTTTTTCAACAAAATTGTAGCCTGATTATCGTGATAGTGATATGGAAATTGCCTATTTTGAGCTGTATGTTATTCTGGTAACGGTAAGGAATGTATACGACTTGTTGGACCGAAATATTTCTTATCTATTACAAGTATTTTCATACTCCCCTTTCCCTTTTTTACTTCGCTTTTTTCTTCGTTTTTCTTTCTTTCTTCATCTTTTATACTTCATCATTTCCTCTTTATCCTTTAATTCAAGTAGTAAAGTTAAAGGTCGTGTTGTATGAGAGACAAAGGTAGTTCGAGGTAGCATTTTGTGGCAAAGGGGATAGGGAGGATTGTTTTTTTTTTTTTGTTGTTTTAGAAAGTGTTTTTTATATTTTTGCTTTTTCCGAACTCATCACGCCAAACGGGTAACTGCCGTAGATTGAACCGAAAATTGGCCAGTCAATAAATTTTGATTTTTCTTGAGCAGTAAAAAATCGTTAAAAATGTGCAGATGGAAATGCAAATTTTTGCTGAATTCTGATTTAGATTGCAAGGAGCCAAAAGTTTTTTGGATTCGGAATTTTTTGTTGTTTCCTGACTTTTTCAAATTTTTCATAAAAAAAAAAAGTACGACAACTTGCCTGTGGTCGCAGTCGCGCTGTTGCAAGTTTAGGTACACTGTGTGTCTGTGGTAACACAAAGTAAACGAATGGTGTTAGTGTAATAAATAAGACAATACCGCAGATAAACTGGGATGCACGAAGGCTTGTTTGCACTGCAATCTGGGATGCAAACATTGGCCCCAGGAACATTGCGAGCGCCTGAAAAAAAAAGACATTTTTTGGAAAGACGTAAAAATTTTTCAATTTTTCGAAAAAAATTTTTTTGAAAAAGATATCATCATATATATGAAAGCCAATTAGACAGTTGTTTTGGGCTGGGATTTAGCTGACCTAGCCTAAGCCAAGCGCTTTTGTCGTGAGCTGCATATTCCAATTTTAAAAAAAAAAAATTATTTTTCCTTTGTTCGTTTAAAAACAACAGGAAATTTGTCTGATTGGGAGATAAGAGTCGAAGACTTACTTGAATGCGTGAAATTTAGTGATTACGATGAGAAATTTTTTGGTAGATGGCGGCGTTAAGTTTTCTGGAAGTGCTAAAATCCCATAGAATTCGAGGCAGAAGTGTAGGATGAGTCAGTTTCGAGATGTGGTATTTTTTTGTTGAAAGCTTGAGAATCGCTCAAAAAGGTACTGTTGTTCATTGACATTTCGTACACATAATTAGAACTTAAAGTTTAATTACCTGTGGTACAGTGAGACGCATCAGTGCACCGGTACGTTCACGTTCCGTTGTGATCGTAGCCAGGTACATTTCAGCAGTTGCATCAAGCTGATAACCTATCCTAAGTATCTGAAATTTAAGCAGCGGTTCAAGAAACTCAACTTTCCCATGGACTGTTTCAAATCTCAGAAATTTGCATATCTTTTTGAAAATTTTTCGAAGACTTCCTTCAGTTCCTTTTGAAAAAAAATTTTTTTTAATTTAGGTTCATAAACTATTTTCGCATACTAAATTATACCGAGACTTTTTGCTTTGGAAATAATGTTTTACTCCATGAACTGTTATGAATTCAAGAGTGTACCACTCCGAAACTGTGCAGTTTTTTTCTGGATGGTTTTGTTTTTATCTCAGTTTTTTTAGGCTGCTTTTAATTCAGAAACATGCATTTATTTCCAAAAATCTGTTTTGGAATTTTTTATTCCAGTTTTATGAATTCAAAAATGTGCTTGTGTTCAAAACTTTTTGCAAATTTTTCTGAAAAGTACTGTTTCTAGTTTAGGCTTGTGAAATGTATATTCGAAAATTTAAATATTTTTTTTTGAGATTTTTTGAAAGCCTTTTTGCAGATATTTTCTGTGGAGTACTTGTTTTAGTTTGTGAATTACCTGTAGAAAGAAGAACGAGTACCAGCATCTAGCGAATGCTAGCGCGGAATAGTAGATTGATACAATAACTGACGCAAATAAAAACATCGTTTTGGGTCCGGTTGTATCAGCAAGCTAAAAATTATTTCTCTTGATTTAACAAAAATTATTTTTATTTTCCTCAATTTTTGTTTCATTTTCATTAACCTTCTTCTGCTACTGAGTACGGTGCACCTCAAAGTAGCGCTGCTGTCGCGTTGGAGGTTGAGGACAACAGTTGTACGATTCGTCTGTTCGTTTCGATGATCAAAGGATACTGGCGTACACTAGGAAACCCGAACCATCACTAACTTCTAAACAGCCCTCAGAAGAGTCACATCTGTGGTAAGTATGGGAGGATTTTGACCAGCAAGTTGCATATTTATGAAAGCTATTGCCTCCAAGATAATATCGAAATCCCGTTCATATTTATGCTGTAAGAGGCGTAAGTATACCGTAGGAACCCGAACAGTGTACATTAGTAGTAACCTCCTTCACTTTCTAGACTGTCGACAAGTGCTTTTCATGAGAATTTATTCAAAAAAATGAACTGAGAATTACGCTGGAGGAGAAAAGAAGGGATTTTTTTTTTCAAAAAATCAAATTTTTTATTTCTGGGAATTTTACAGTGTTTTTATATAATAAGTACTAGTAGATTATTTTGAAAAAAAAAGACACATAGTTTACCTGTCCAACAGCAAGTGCACCGAAAGCATTACAAAAACTGCCAAATGATTGAATGTAGCCAATGTCCACTATGGTCATCACCTAAAAATTTTTTTCTAATTACAGTCACCATTTTGAATTTATGCTGTTGAGGCTTGAGATGTCGTGGAAATGCAGCTAAATATGTAGAAAAGGGTAATTCGAGTGATTGCTATTTGATACGAAGCATCCACCAGCATTTTTCATGTAGCGGATTTCATATCAACTGGCAAGGCACTCATCTGACGGAATGTCTGTTAGTAAATTTTTGTGGAAAGGCATGTGCCAGAAATGTTAAGACCACCTTGGCAGTCAATGTTTGTATCCCATATTAGTGATTTCACATGTATGCTTCTACACCAAGCACAGCTATACCAGATCCTTCGATTCTGAGTTGCACTTCCTTCTGTTAGTACCCACCGCTTGTTCGATGTATGTGTCCAAAAAAAAAAATTGGCCAACGCACGGGCTGCCCGTGCGAAGATGCGTTTTTTGCAGAGTTCCC